AACGCAGAGAGGGTCAGGGAGCTGGAGACGACGTTTGGCTGTCAAGTGCCGACGGACTACAAGCGAGCATTGCTGAAACGGAAGGTGAAAGCCAGTGGGAACAAGCCCCTCTCGGTCAGGCGCACAAGGGAAATGTTTTGCTGTCTCTATGAATCTCAGGAGGAGGCGTTTATAAAGGAGGCAATGGCCTACTTCAAGGAAATCTCGCTCACACTTCAGGATAAGATGGACATGGTACGCGCGTCTTCCTGCCTCAAGCATAGTTCCAGCGTGGAGAGGATGTCACTGAAGATAGAGAAGGGGTTATTTCTAGAGGATGGATGCCCAGAATTGGACAGGTAAGGACTCGCTGTTACTCGTGGCTCTATCCTCAGCTTCCCCGCCATGCGCCAATAGGAAGAGGCCGTGTTAGTCGCCATTGAGTGGATTCTGGCTCGGGTGTGCACAGTGGGGTTTTCAAACCCGTGGATCTTCCCTGGAGCAGTTGGCGACAGCTTTATCCCAGGGGGTGGCTGGTGGCTACAAGCACATTTAACTCCAGTGGCCTCTCGGGGCTGCTGTGGTGCATAGTTGCTTGGTTTCCTGGCCCAAACCATGTGGGACCGACCTATCAAATGTGCATGTCTGTTTCTCATCCCAGCCTCTTGTGTTTTATTTTTGTTTGTTTTCACTCCTAGAGCATGTAAACCTTGCTCTACAAAAAGTGACAATGTTCACGTTGGTAATTCATTTTCCTCTTAATATTGCTTCATGATACAAAGCAGTTTGGTGGCTTTTTTGCCATGGGGACTGAGGGGGACGTAACCTAAGGGTTTGCCATTCAAATGATCAACTTTATATTCAACAGTTTAAATCGTTCACCAACCCACCAATGCCCTCCTCCCCAGTAATTCACCTTTTACCCCCTCCCTCGTTCAGACTATGTTCCATTTTGCCCCACTTGACACCCCTCAGTGATCTTGGCCCATTGTTGAAGCTTCCCAACCCTCCGTGGCAAACAGTTCCCTTTGGTCTTTCAACTTGTGGGGGGTTTGTTTTTTCCCCAAGAACAGTGGTCTCTTTGGGGTTTTTCCTAATGCGACTTTGCATCAAGGCCAAGGGCAAAAACTAGTCTCAAGACTGGATCTGAGACTTCGTTTCCATTTCTTCCCCCGTCCTCCACCCCCAGCCCCCCAATGTCAGATCAGAAAAGGTCTCATTTGTGGAGACTTGACTAGCATGCAGCTCCACCAGTAAAGCTTCTTGGGGTGAGGGAGGGGAGCAAGTCCCAGCACCTCATTTCCAACTCATGATGACCTCTTGTGTTGAGGTAGAGAGCTGTGAACCCAGTAGAGTTTTCAATGACTGGTTCCCTGCCCACCCCACTTTTTGAAATAGATCTCTGGGCTTTTCTTTCCAAGGTGCTTCTGGGTAGGCTCCCATCCGCACACTTTCTGATAGTGACTCTGCGTAACCCTATACACAGCCCACTTTGGGCTGTTTTGAATGGTAGGAAGATACTTCCATGGATTTAAATTACTCTTGCATTCAGTGTCTGGGATAAGACCCCCCCCTCAGTTAGGTTCTCAGAAGGGTAGGAAAGCGTTGGAAGACAGAATTACCTCCCCATCTCTCCCTCTCCCTGCAGCTTAAAGGAGGATCCACACATTCTACCACTTTGGGTGGATCTTTGCTCCATCCTCGGCTCAAGCAAGAACCTGGTATCCCTGGACTTGAGTAATTGCTACCTGAATGAATCTGCCGTGAGGGTTTTCTGTGACCAGATAACCTCGACCTCCCACTCTCTCCAGAAAGTGAGGTGAGGAACGATTCATCTTAATGGCCCAAGTTCCCCTAGGGCACGACCAACTGCTTCTTGGGTTTAAGACGGGAGCAATATGTTTGAATCTCTGCCTCGGATTCCAACCCAGGTGCTCAGGAGACAAGTCATTGAATTGTTTTCCTGTCCTTTTAACTTTGTGTCTGGGAAAATCCTACAAGGTGATATCAAGGAAATGTGAAGTATGGTTTAGACAGCCATACAGAGTATGAGCCCCTAATAAAATGATAATTAAAAAAACAGCCATCAGCCATACAGAAAGGGACATCAAGATCCTAAGGGACGTTCCGATTCTGACAACCAGAGTGCAATATGCAGACCGGAGTTTCCCAGCCGCTGTTGAAATACTGGGCTGGGTATTGCCTTTTTGGGGGGATGTCTGTTGTGTTAGACTGGGTTGACTACAGGAACAAATTCAGAGACACTCATATATAAGAAAGAGCTTTATATCAAAGAGCAATTGTATATTGAGAAAACATCCCAGCCCAGTCCAGATCAAATCCATACATCTAATATTAGTCCATATGGCCAATGATAGTCCATAAATTCCTCTTTAGACTCACGCAGCACATACAATGATGCCGAACGCAGGTCACAAGCCGGTGGGTGGGAAGTCTTGTGGATGCGGTGGCAGTGGAAGCATCTCAACGCTGGCGTGGGTCTCCATGTGTCTCCTCCAGCTCTCTTGAGTGTCTCAACAGCGGGGAAGGGAAGGCAGGGAGACTGGGTCTGGCCTCCAGTGCATTATTGATCTCCATCGCGCCTCCAAATAAGGTCATCAGCTTTGACCTGATTGACAGGCTAGACTCCACCCACCCCTTCCCTCAAGTTGACGGAGTATGTAGCTGCCACCTGTTCACTGGGGGATGTTTACCAGAGGCCCTGGGTTCTTTCAGTGCCAGTGGCACATACCCCCCTACAGTTGGGACCAGCTAAAGTGCCTCCAGTAGTTACCAAAGTCCCAGTGGGGATGCCCAGTCGCCTCGGACCCAGAATCTCTGATGATGAAAATGGGATCAACATGTGAAGCAAATAATAGTGTTAAAGGCCCGTCACTTGGGCCAGGGCCAGGGGCATTGGGCAGTGGGAGAATGCTGACTTCGTATAAGATTGTCAGCCAGTGCCCCTCGCGCACGGTGCCTCCCCATCTGGCACTGAAAGCTTTCGTGCCGCCGTGAACGCTGACCAGCAGGCTGCAAGGAGTTGCCCAAACTTAAAATGGATTCAGAGGAAAGACTTGATCTACTAAGCCTTGTAGATCAGTCAGATCCACAATCCAAGACAGGATGGCAGCACCAGCAGAAAGCAATGTTTCCTTCTGGTGTTGTGCATGCAGTCCCCATGGGGTGGGGGGCATTTTGCAAACATAAAGCTCGAAGCATTTTTGTTTGAAGAGGCTTCTGGTTTCTGCAAGCCGTTGAGCACCCTAAAAGAAATATGTGGGGGTGGGGGGGGGTCTAATCCACTTCCTAAAGCTTAGAAACACTGCAACCCTTTGTTTCAGTAGGCGCAAAAAGGGTGGCGGAACTAAGATTCTCATCTGTTTTCTCTAGCCTCAACCACATCTTTCCGAGTGACGCCTATCAGGACTTCTGCTTCGCGCTCGTTGGTCAGAAGACGCTGGCACATCTGACCCTTCAAGGCAGCACTCACAACGAGATGCTTCCCCTTTTGTACGAGGGCCTGAAGCACCCGGAATGTAACTTGCAGTACCTCAGGTAGACCTCCTCCTCCCCAAGACTTCAGCCCCACAGCTACTGAAAATTTACCTACGTGGCTTTTCCCTGCAGAAAAGGGGTGTCCCCTGAAAAGAAAACAGACGGGTGTCCCCAAGGCTGATGAGGGGATTGTTCCTGGGGG